GCTAAGTACCTGCATGTCATAAGCATTTGAATTAAAATTACCATATTGAAATCAAATCTGTTTTTTAATTTTTATTTGGTGTGCGTTGGAACAGGGGTAGTCTTATACGGTGAGTATAGCCCAAACTCTATATTTTAACTGGAAAAGTTGGGGGTCGTCTTATACGCCCAGTCGTCTTATACGCCGGAATATACGGTATTTATTAAATATATATGCCACCCAGTGACTCTGGGTGGCTTACAGTTGAATAACTTTATAATTTTCGGTTACTTTTCTCAAAAAGAATTGTGGAATGTTCTTTAGGGCAGGGGTTTCAATATTTCTAGGCTGTGAAACCATATATATATCTATGTGTGTTTTTCCTAAATTTTTGGATTGCTAATGAAGAATTAAGGGGGACTGGGATAGCTATTTCGAGCTGATTAGCTCTCATCAGCCAGCCATACCCTTCTGAGATTCAAACCTGGGCTGCTTGCATGTTAGGCAGCTGTTTTGACCCCTAGGCCAAATATAAATATATATATATATATAAATGAACCTCTGATCAAGAATCAGAGCTTTAGTTGCAAAAACTGGCTGTGCTGGAGTGAATATTATTATTTTCTTCTAGTCTTTCTTTTTTTTAATGTTGTGGTGTACAGTTTGAAAAACATATTTTCAAAGGAATTTCCTACTTTTTTAGATTACCTTTGAATAAAGTTTAACCAGGAACAGGACTAGTTAGTTAATTATAGAAGTCAGTTTTACATTAAAAAGATCAGCCAGTATGGCTGTAGCTTATTTGTTGAAGTCAATTCTGAGGAGCTTTCAATGGGGCTCTAGCCAATTATTATAGATAGAATTTTAAAACAGCATCTTTGACAGAGAACATAGACGACAGCATCTTTCAGAGGTGGATTTGGGTAGGGCTGAAAGTATTAAGTTAAACATCTGAATTTAAATCCTGGATTTATTTAAAGCTTTGTTGCCTTTTCTCTTGATTAGATTACTGTCCATGTCCCTCTTCTTCATCGTTGTCAGTTTATTCTTCAAAACTACAAAAAGTAAAGTTCAGAGAAGAGCTCAGTCAACAACAGATGCGTATAAAACCCCACATTTTGGTGGGACTGATAAAAGAAACTCTGTATGGGTCTAGGCATTGCACTAATTCATTGGGTCTTATATATTGGATGACCTTCTATGGAGTCTCACAGAGGGTTTGAAATTTGAAGTTATAATACTATAAGCACCAGTTGCAGTTTATAAGAAGTTACAGCAACTATGGCCATCTGATAAAATTTTAACATTCAGTTCATTCTTAGTATTGTGCATATGAAGAATAATAAATCCATATTATTTATGTATCTGTTTGTTTGTTTGTTTGTGTTATGACTGTTTGGGTTGCATCATGAGTATATTATAGTGAGAAGTGGTGCAATCCAAACATAAGACCGATACCTAGGTTTTGCAACTTTTAAAACAGAAAATTAGTTTCTTGTCACTTCCTCCCAATGCTCTTTCAAAGAAGAAAGTCTTAATAATTTCCTCAGTTTTCAGGTTTGTCCCAACTATAGCTTTATATTAGTTCCACTTCAATGTATTTCTGGCCCCCTTAAAAATTAAAATGCCACTTCTGTCTATGGAAGGGTGGGGCTGCAATCCCCTTCCTTTTCATTTTCAGAGGTTTTCTTTTGCTTCTTGGGGGTCTTTTCCAGGCAATCCAGTTGTAAAATAGAAGAGAAACGATATATATTCTCACCCAGTTCCAAACATGTTGTTCACAATCTGTTCTAGTTGGGGTTTTTTTGCTTTGGTTGTCGGTAGCTTGGGCTGGTCACAAAAGTGCAACTAGCCTTTCTCCTGCCGGTTTGGAGGGCTTTCCCTGGGTCAAATGGATCGACCGCCATCTTTCCGTGATCAACAGGGGTCCCCTCCTTCATTGCCTCTCCGGGGTGACTTTAGACCCATTTAGGACGAAACCAGCTGTAGGGTGTGGAGCCCCACAATCCCTTGAGTGCGTCGCTATGACATGAACCGGAAGTCAGCATTTATTTATTTTTATTCAATATTTGCAGGTTGGTCTGCATCAAGTTCTTCCCAAGAATCTAGGTTGCTGTAATGTATCGGCATAGTATATGTACAGATCCAAGCAGGTTGGTTTATTTTATATATGATGGATTCAGCCCATTTTACATCATTACATCAGCCAATATCACATAGCCCTCCTTAAAAAAACCAGCCAAGTGCAGCCTCTGAATACCAACATATTGCCCACCTATCACACAGCACTTTCAGGAACAATAAAGGGATATATAAATGTACTTGTAAAATAGTACAGGACATTCAACGTTAATCTAGACAAACTGCAAATTTATTATTATAGAATCCTTAAATCATTTATGTCATGTCTTTTTCTCACTGTTGAGTATGTGAGATGGTAGCTTTAATGTTATTAGACTGTTCAAAATCCCTAGCAACAATGTGTACTGCTTGACCCAAACAGACAATGTGATATCATTTATTCTCTTTGTCCTCATTGTACTCATTCATAATTTATGTAGATCAGTATTTCTAAAATTTGGCCACTGTAAGATGTGTGGACTTCAACTCCCAGAATTCTTCCTGCCATCATTTGGAGGATGATAGTCCCATCTTTTTCCAACAACATTGATAGCTCTTCACTGCATATACTAGCCAGCATATATGGGAATACTTATTTTGTTACCCTACATGGGCAAACGGAGAATTCCCTGATAGACTTGAAGTTGGACATGACCTCTCTTCCCCATTCGCCCATGGTCACATGTTCAGAAATTAGAAATATAATTAAATAGTTTAAACAAAGTAACGGTCCAGACTCAGATATTAGAATAGGATAGGATAGGATAGGATAGGATAGGATAGGATAGGATAGGATAGGATAGGATAGGATAGGATAGAATAGAATAGAATAGAATAGAATAGGACCTTGGAGGTCTTCTAGTCCAGCCCCCTGCTCAAGCAGGAGAACCTATACCATTTCAGACAAGTGACTATCTAGTGACTAGTCTCTTCTTAAAAACCTCCAGTGATGGAGCACCCATGATTTCTGAGGGCAAACTGTTCCACTGGTTAATTGTCCTCACTGTTAGGAAGTTTCTCCTTAATTCCAGGTTGCTTCTCTCTTTGGTCAGTTTCCAACCATTGTTTCTTGTCCTGCCCTCTGGTGCTTTGGTGAATAGTTTGATGCCCTCTTCTTTGTGGCAGCCCCTCAAATACTGGAATATGGCTATCATGTCACTCGTGTTTCTTCTTTTGTATGAAGTAATAAAAAAATAACTTTGAATGGTGGATCCCAATGTTAGTTTCACTTTTCACAACAATAGATTGTTCAGACATGATACCAAAGGATTGGGGCTTAGCTATTTTAATACTAATATATAAGAAAGGCAAGAAAGATGATTCAGCTAACCCAACCCGTTTCATAAATCATATCAGCAAAATGTATGCCAAACTTCTACAGGAGAAACTAACTCAGTGTTTCTCAACCTTGACAATTTTAAGGCATGTGGACTTCAACTCCCATTTTTAAAAATGCCGTAAATGACAAACACCTATTCTTGCTGTTTATCAAAATGCATGAGAACACAAAATTGAAGGTCAGGTGCAGTAATTATGGACACACATAAGGAGAGGAATTAGACAGGGATGTGTAACTAGGAATAGTTTTTCAAGCCTCAGGAAACAGAACTGCCAACCTGGACTATGTATTCCGCAATACATAAAGAGCTGCCAGAACTATACAAATTTCTCATTTTTCCAGAGGAGCACAGTTTATCTCTGCTGCCGTTGTTTGCAGACACCTACAAATCTTCCTGGGAAACAGCAATCCCAAAGAAAGTGAGCCTTTATGCTTCCTTAACCAACTTAACCTTATAATTCGATCAAGCTAGATCAATACTAAGGCAAAGAGTCTTAGATATAAAAGGTCAAACAGAAATTGTGGGTTTCTCTCACAATATAATTGTAAATAACCACATTTTAGTGTCCAAACCAGCCTCCTATCATATCACAGTTGCCAAATTTAGGAGAGTTTTATCCTTAACTCCATGTAATGTTCTCCCCACAGCTCTGGGAATGGAAATGTAGGGGGGGGGGGACATATGAAACCCCATATTGCCCCTATATGGGTACTATAGAAATCACAGCCCATCTTCTTTTGTATTGTCAGTTCTATAGGACATTTGCATCTAGTTGATTATCCCCCCTTTTATTTAAATTTCCAGGGCACTCTGATAGCTTTTATTTGCACTGTTAAAATAAATGTATTTCTCTAAAAGTAGCAAAATTTTGCTATATTATGCATAAGCTTTGCCCACAAATGTTTGCTAATGATTCTTCTTGTTAGGGGATAGTTTTGTGTTGCTCATTTTATTGATTGTATTTTTATTGGTCAATGACTGAAATAGTTCTGTCATCTGGTCTAGATGTATCAATATTTTAACAATATTACTACTATTGTAGTTACTGCTGACAAGTTATTAAGTGTGCCTGAAAGGCTGAGATGAGGGCTGTTTTCACCCCAAAACAATATATTCAATCAGGAAATGGTAAATTCTGGGTGCTCCATCATTGGAGACTTTCAAGAAGAAACTGGACAGCCATTTGTCTGGAATAGTATAGGTCTCCTGCTTGAGCAATATGCACTACATATTTCAGAAATTTAAATATTAGCAGAAGATATGTGTGTGTGCATGCATATGTATTTACTTTTAGGGATGCTTGTTTTGAGTTTTTTTAAATGGAAAGTGATCTAATGATAGTGTTTTGCTTTTGAACATATGCCTATGCAAATGTGTCTGAATTACTGTATGTTCAAAATTACAATTAAATCAAAATTTTATTTTTCATATTCCAGATCATTCATCTTTTCTGTCTTAATTCGTGAAGGAAAATCAGTACCATTTTTTATAGTTATGTCAGCATTTATATTCTGTTCATATAATGGATATTTGCAAGGCCGGAGTTTAACTAATTATGCAGAATATTCATCCAACTGGCTGACAGAACCATGTTTCATTCTTGGTGAGTCAGTTCAAGTAATACATATATGTCAGATTGTCAACAATTGATCTTTGTTTCTTATCCTGAATGGTTAAATCCTCTCTCTCTGTGTTAAGCTATTTTTTTTCCCTTTTGTTCAAGCTGAAATGGTACCTTCTTGAGAAATGCATCCCCATTTACTACTGTAATGAAATAAAAGTCCTAGAGAAAGAAGTGATTCATATTTTTTTAGCTATTTAAATCGTCAGAACATGTAGTCACAACATATTTTTCTCCAATGTTATTTCTTTTTGTGTTTCTGACCCACTCAAAATGGCTTGCATGGCACCGTATCTTAATTTTACCCCTAAAACAACCACTAAGGTAGGCTTTGTTGAACGAGAATAATTAAACTAAGAAATCCAGTGAGCAAAGAGATGGGGGGAGTGGGCAAGCAGATGTATCTCTTAGCTACTATCTAATGGAAGTTAGCATAGTTAGTGGTCTGTTCTTGCTCTGGGGCAAGGAAATTCTGCAAATTTTTCTTATAACCTTCATGTATCCTATGAAATGGCCTTAGTCTGAGCCATAACCAATTTGTTTACGAACTATTGCTTATCTTATTTCATTACAAAAAAAATATGTAAGACTGTTTGTTCACCTGGTTGTTTAATTCTTTTAATTCTCACCCACATCCTCAGAGTAACTACCACTTTTCATGCCACCTAGATGGCAATTTGTACTGAATTCTGTACATGTGATGTGCTTGTTTTGAAAAAGAACCTCACTACAGAAATCTCTGTTTTTTATGTCTCTGCCAAGCTGCACGGGAAAACAAGCAAATGGCTCTAATCTCATCAATATCTGGCAGGATTGAATGGAATTTTCAGGCATATCATCAATTCTGAGTTATTCATAGTTTTGATTATTAATTGGACCAGAATTCAGAACTCACAGTAGCATTGTATAAAGGATTCTCCCCAGCTTGGGACTTCAATCAGATTGAATAAAGCCAATAAAGGTAGTCATAACCATTCATTTAGTGACTGCTCAAAGTTACAACAGCATTGAAAAAAGTGACTTGTGACCATTTTTTTACACTTATGACCATTTCAGCATCCCCATGGTCCCATAATCAAAATTCAGATGCTTGGTAACTAGTTCATATTTATGATGGCTGCAGCGTCCCTGGGTCATGTGATTACCTTTTGTGATCTTTTGACAAGTAAAAACAATGGGGAAGCCAAATTCATTTAACAAGCATGTTACTAACTTAACAACTGCAGTGATTCTCTTAACAACTATGACAAGAAAGTCATAAAATGGGGCAAAACTCACTAACAACTGTCTTTCTTAGCAATGAAAATTTTAGACTCAGTTCAGTGAACCACTTTTTCTAGCATTTATACACAACAATTATTGACTACTTATATTATTTTTAAAAGATTAAACTCTAAATTTCAATTCATTGCTTTAATATGTTTATTCCAGGGATTGCAGCCTGGCTAGGTGGTTTCCTGATTAACATACACTCTGATAATATTTTGAGAAACCTAAGAAAACCAGGAGAGACTGGATATAAAATTCCAAGAGGTAAGGATTGCAAATGTTTAATTAATATTTAAATATTTTTGCATTTAAATATTATAATTATTGTTTGGCAGAGCTTCAAAGCTTGAATCACAATTTCTTTGTTAATTGTGATTGCTACAGAAATTGATTAAATAATTAGAAAGTGTTATGCGTGCTAACAACAGTTTCGTCTTACAACAGTTTGCTTAGTGCAGTGGTGGGATTTGTTCTGTCCCCGTTCCGACCCACACACCCAAACAGCCAGCCGAGGGTTAAAGACTTCTCCAGACACCACTTCACCGATAAGAAACTTGGCAGCTGCTCCGTAGCTGCCTGCCAAGACCTTTTACTCCAAGCACACAGAAACAAAAAACAATACACACAGTTTAAAGCCACAGCAAACTACTTCGCCAGAGATTCAGCTTTTGTCCGTCACAGAGGTCCAAATGGCCACCATCATCCTTTTATAGCCTGTGGGGTGTGGTGCAGTGACTCAGCTTAATCTCTGGCACGTCTCTTTTTCTGCTGCGCACGCTTGTCGCTCCTATGCTGGCGTGGATCCAGCCACAACTTCTCTTCCTCATTATCCGACACACCCGGCTCCTGGTCAATCTCTTCTCCGTCGGGAGACACCTGAGGCATTGCCAAAGAGGAGGGTCCTGGAGAGGGAGGCCTGGCCATCTCCTCTCCTTCATGTTCGGAGCCTTCTTCCTCCGATAAGAGGGGCTCACAAGACGGAGCCACAACAGGATTCAAATACCCGAACCGGTGCAAACCAGCTGAATCCCACCACTGGCTTAGTGACTGTTCAAAGTTAAATGGACCTCCCAAAAAGCATTTATGATCTGAATTCAAAGTTTTGACAGCTGGGCTCCTGTAGTCACGTGATCATATTTTGGAAGTATGGCAACCAGTCTGCATTTACAGCTTTTTCAGCATTTCATGGTCACATGGCAGGGCTTTACGATGCATTATAGCAGAAATCAGTGTTAACTTTCAATTCGCAGTAAAAAAAAACCCAGCCATTGCAGAGAAAGGGTTCGCTTAATGACCACTACAAAAAAAATCATAAAATTGTGTTAATCACATAATGACCTGCTTAACCACCGGAATGACTTATGACCATCATTTCCAGCTTAATTATGGTTGTAAGCTGAGGACTATCTGTAAGGTTACACATGTAGTAGAAAATATTACATATTTTCCAAAAATTTATCCGTAACAAGATAGGTGATATTTGATAATTCCTGCTGTATAACTCCAGGTTGTTCCAAAATATATGATGTTAGTTTATTTGGACTCTTCTTAAAGAGAAGGGACCACAAGGTGCATTCAATGTATTTTCAGTATGGCTGGATTCATGCATAACACTGTGCCATGATTTGTTCATTAAACAACAATTGACCAGATCCAAATAATTTGTTATAAACTGTAGCACACAAGATGCAGTGTTTGGGTTGGCTTAGATGGCAAGCCAAAACTAAACTGTGTTATTATTAGATGCACGAACCAATTTGTCATTTTTAAAGGTATTGTTGACTAAGAAAAAGCAACTTAAACTAAATATGGAGTTGCAAGAAATGCTGGTAGAAATAAGGATATAGCACAACATTTACCCCAACAAACCAAGAGGAATATTCATCAGCTTTCTGAACAACATACTCTTTATCTGTTAGTAGAGAAGAGATTATTCCGGTGTTAAGTCCCATAATTTAGTGAGAATGTTTTGCCTTGCTGCCATTTCAAATTTTGTCCGCTAAAGCTCAATGTTTGTGTTCTGCTTTATTTGTTCTATTGATACCGTTTTAATCAATATTTTTCATGGCAAGACTGTGAGAAAAACCTGGAATGTATCTGACAAATTCAAGGCTTCACTGGCCCTGCCTGCTATTGGCTTCTTGAAAAACTAGAATATAATAAGGCCTTGTGTTTCTCTGCTTTTGGTGGAAAAAAACAATAACAGCTCACCTGCTTCTGGTTTGACCAAGCAGATTTTAGTTAGGTTTTTCCTTCATTGCTTTGCAGGTAGCAGGCCAAATATTGGGTGCAAGGAGGAGTTTATTACCTAGGAATTAGCTGAAAATTGCCTATTTTCCCACTCATTTATGCCCATTTGAACGAAGTTCAGGGTTTTATTAGAGCAGGTTTGATAAAGAATAATGCAGCAGATGGAGAAAAAAATCATATACAACAAACCCAAAATAATACTGTTGAACTATGTCTCCTAACCATATTGCTCTTTGTCCAAGGGCTTGGTTGGTATCCCATTAAAATAATGCAGAATTATGTTTCTTTGAGACAGAGAATGAAGCCAAAAAGAGGGGGGGGGGAAGCCTTCTTCCCCAAACTAAAATACAGTTATAACTGGCAAAACTGTCTGTCAACAGAATTTAATCTACAGTATTCCATTTTAAAAGGACAGTACCACAAAACTAGGGAGAATTAGGATCTTGAACGTTTGGAATAAAAATGATAATCTTATGATTATTTCTTTTGCTTTAAAGGTATGGTTTCCTCTCCTTTAGAGAGGTTCTAAAGCTTGAAAATCTTGGTGTTAACTAATTTCTTTGATTTATTTCATTATTCACTATAGATGTGGTTGAACAATATTCAAGATAATTCCAGTTTGTATTTGTTGTACTTTATTTGCCAAGTCAATAATTCAGCTTTTATTTCTGTAGGAGGAATGTTTGAATATGTAAGTGGAGCTAACTTCTTTGGGGAGATTGTTGAGTGGTGTGGATTTGCTCTTGCATGCAGCACACTAGAAAGTACAGCTTTTGCCATTAGTACATTGCTGATATTAGGAAGCCGAGCATATACACATCACCAGTGAGTTTTCCAAAATCTTAATTTCTATTGAATGTTCATTTAAGTTTATATGATGACTGTCACAAATACTTGCTGTCTATATATCCTGAAGTTATTATAGACATTAGTGGTTACATTTATTGTACAATTTGTCAAGGAAAATATAGTTAAGCTAAACATTCGGTTCACCTATATGTTGGTTGGTTTTTGAAAATTATGTTTTTTATTAAAGTTATTTCTCAATAAAGAACAGTAATTATCTTTAAAACATCATGTAATTTAGATAGCTCATTTGCAAGAAAGTTATCATTAATATTCCAAAGTGAACCTGCTTGATTTCATACACTTGAATTAAACTTTGAGCTATATTATAAACAGGCCCACAACATATCCCCGGAAACAGTGAGACACGGATGATGCCCTGTCCCTTCCATGGGTATTGTATGAAGGAAAATCAGTAATCTTTTACCTAGAGAATGTCCCTTGAAGGAATAGGAGTACAAATCATAACCACCCTTACAAACCAACCACAGACACACCGCAACATGCCCCCTGCCTATTTTCCTATTTCCCCCTGCCTATAACAAGACTGCATCTGATTTGCTTTGTCCATATCATGCATACAAATTCACTGGAGAAGTCAATGTTGCTAGGAATAGTTAGTGGCTCAAGAAGAAAGGGCAAGCGAAGAACTCGTTGGCTTGATACCATCAAAGCTGATACAAAGATGAACATCCAACAACTGAAAGAACCTGTGCTTAATAGGGTAGCATAGAGAGCACTTGCCTATAAAGTCAAGAATTGGATACAGCTGAACTGTTAAAACTACTACTAATTACCTCAAAAACATCATGTAATTTAGATAGCTCATCTGCAAGAAAGTTCTCATTAATATTCCAAAGTAAACCTACCTGCTTTCATACAGTTGCTGTCAAACCCTCAAACTATCTATTCATTTCATTTCATTTTCGGGTACTGCCATTCCGTTGGGAGGGGGGAAACTCTGTGGGCTTTGAGATGTATTTCCTTTACTTGGTTCTTTTCACCTTTGATGTATTGCTCTGGGTATGAAAGGGAGGAGGAATGTGCCTGGGGCCATCTGTCTTATCTCTGCTCTGCTGGGAAGAAAGCAGGAGGAACATGCGGTTTTATGACTCCACAACAGGCCCACAACTTACCCCTGGAAATAGTGGGACATGGATGATGTCCCGCCCCTTCCGTGGGTATTATATGGGGGAAATCAGTAAACTTTTATTCACAGAATGTCCCTTGATGGAGTAGAAATGATGTTTTATTGATGAATTTGTGTGGCCACATTTTCAAGCAAAGAAGCTTGCCAAACATCCAGATTTTTGGTTTTGCAATAAATATTTTTAAAATAATTAAAAGACAGCCATTAACTTCTCTCGTGAATTTGTTAGGTTCTATGCCTTTAATGTGGAAGGAATGGACGTATAGAAACATATGAAAGAAATGTGAACCAGGTTTATAATGATCTGCCATCCATATTTTAAAATTTAAGAAATATCTATTTTAAATAATAGCTCCAACTTTCTGTGTTGAATTATATTCTATAATTTCAGATGCCTGAGAACTGAACAAATATTTCCTGGTTAATGTTAAAAGAGTTTTGAAAATCTTATATACCAGTTGTGACATATTTAAATCAGCTATTACAGTTGCTTGTATTATTTTACTTTTATTTGATGATTTTAGCTGTTTTCATTTGTACCTTCTATCTCTGGATCTCAGCTAAACCAATATGTTTCTGCTATTCTTTGAAACTTTTACACTTTTTAGATTTTCATAAGAACTGGAAAAAGATGCATCTGCTTTTAAGAGTTTAATTGATGATATGTTTCTTTAATGTTTCAACTCATTAAACCAGCTACATCCTTTTTTTCAAAAGTCAAAAAGTCAAGCTTTTTAAAATGGATCATTTTGGTGATTTACACTGGTTTTTCCTTATCTGTATTTATTTGACTGTTAGCCATTTTGAATGCCATATAGGCAGAAAGCAAAGATGTAAACTGAAAATCATAATAATTTGTATTTAAAAAATAACTGATTTTTGTGATTGGTAAGAAACATTTTATCATAATGTTATACACGTAATGTGGAAAAAATAGAATTATTTACCTTTGTTAAAAATTTGACATGTCTGAATCAAACCATTTTTTACTTTTTTTATTTTTCTTCAGATGGTATCTCAACAAGTTTGAAGATTATCCACGTTCCAGAAAAATTCTAATTCCATTTGTTTTCTGAGTTCTCTATCAGATTCTGTACTTTGATTCTGTATAATGCATTAAAATTGCGGGTGGGTGGTGGTTAGATAAAACAGGCTTTTTATAGATAATTCTAGGGAAATTCTTCACAATACTAACATGGTATTGAGTGATGTAACAATTTAATTCTTCTTTTTTAATATTAAAATCTAAAATCAGCAGAAAACTCTGCTGCTGATTATTAGTAGTTAGTAGTTATTAGATTATTAGTAGTTTGAATTTTGATAAGGAGAGACAATTCATGTTGTTTAAACATGAATTGGAAAGCCATATCTGATATCAGAACATAGATTTGAAAATGGAATGTTCATTGGAGTGGATATTTATATTAAATCTAGATAAAAAATAATAAAGTTTTGCAAATATTCCAGGTTAATAATGAATGTGTACAGTACTATGCTTCTTGAGTTTGGTAACTTGCCCGGAAAATCCAGGAACACAATCCAGTTTTTACTTTTAGCAATGTATAAGCAAAAGACAGCTCAATATTATCAGCAATGGTCTGTACAATATATATATATTTGCATTTAGCAAAAAACAAAACTAGTAAGTATTCACTCTGAGTGAATCAATATGGCTAATCATCCTTACTATTCCATTGGCACAATGCCACCAAACCAAGTATCACAAAAGGTACCAGTTTGGTTCAGAGATGATATCATGTTGATGTTTCAGGTCAAGTTTTTAGAATCAGGTAATGCTGCAGTTATAGTGGTGAAGATGTTAGAGCAGCCTTTCTATAAATGCTTATAGTATAAGCATCGGGCAAACTGTTTGATAATAGCTGAATCTGATAATAGCTCTTGTCTAGCCAAGACAATATATTCTACATTGATTATTGTATGTTTATCACCAGTGTCTCAAAGGTGCTTTTTCCAAAAGGCCCCTGGACTTTCTTGGAATTCAAGGAAATACCCAGGAAATAGAAGAAAGCTATCAACTAGACTGCATAAACACTTCCTGGCTATCAAAAGACATGACCCACTATCCCTCATGTCCATCCATGAAGAATCAGAAGGACACAAATTTGATCTAATCGGGACCACAGTTGTAACCCAGGCAAAATCAAGGAGAGAAAGAGAATTCCTGCTTTTCCACCAATAATTCAATAGACAGACACATTGACATCGACCCAGTCTACCAATCGCTGAGAACCAAAGAACTACTTCAGACGCGATCCCGAAGATAGCATTTAAAAACTAACAAACAGGCATCCCACCACGCAGCAACGGAAATCATAATCCTTCACAAGAAATTTTCTTTTTACAAAGTTTTATTAGTTTATAATATGCAATACAATCAAAATACAAAGTAAATAATGGAAAAGATAGGGAAGGGAAAAGGGAGTAAAGAAGTGAGGTAAGGGAGAAAAAAAGGGAAAAAAGGCATTGACCTCCGACTTCCTTTGGTGCATTAGAGTATCAACTTCAAACCTCAGCTTTTTACTTTTACAAAATAATATAAACTAGCCATTTCAATAACATCAAATCTATCTAATTGGTAAAGACCACAATCCTCTCTTGAACCAAAAAAACCCCTATTTTATATGTCACTGGGGACATCTAGTGGTGAAAGGTGGTACAGCAAGTGGAAATTTTTTTCTGACAGATCTCTGAGACTAAAATTTGTCCTTGACAGCAACCAAAAGATAAGAACTTGAAACAGCTGGGTGGTGAAAATATTTCTTTATAGTGGAGGTGGACAGTTATTGACTCTTATTAAAAAATAGTCTCCACTAAAGGCCTGTAAACTTTACAGAAATGGAGTAATACCACCCACAGTCTAATGTCAAACTCATACTTGAAAAAATTCTAGAGGCTACTGAGCTAGTGAATTCTAGAATCAAAGGCTTACGTGCCACTTTAAAGCCACAAAATACAGCTTTAACCCCATTAGAGGAATCTAAACTTCAAAAAACAACAGAAGAAGAAACTAATAACAAAGTGGATTGGCCAACAATTCAACGACTGTGAAGGGACTGGCTTCCTTGATAGGCTGGTGATTGGGCGTTGTCTTACCTGAACGCCATTTCTCAGCATGTAGATGTAGCCTCCACCGATGGGTTATCAATGCCTCCTTGCTCAGTTTAGACTAAGATCAAACTTTGGCCACGCCTCCCTGGGCTGTCCTTCCCCAGTTTGTTGATCGACGAGGTGAAGCACACTTGATTTGACACAACACTCCTCCTGAAAATACAGCCTAGACCCACCAACACGGGCGGGTGTGGAGGCTACATCTACATGCTGAGAAATGGCGTTCAGGTAAGACAACGCCCATTCTACAGCATGTGAGATGTAGCCTCCACCGATGGGACATACCCAAGCCCCCATGTCCCCCAATGGGAGGGAAGTCTAGGTCTGTGAATCGCGAGCCGCCACTATCCTCTGCAAGACCCTCCTGCCAAAGGCCGCATCAGCTGCCGCAAACTGATCAAGTTTGTAATGTCTTATAAAGGAAGAGGGAGAAGACCAGGTGGCTGCCCGACAAATCTCTTCTACCGAAGCCTGTGCAGAGTAAGCCGCAGTCGTGGCTGCACTACGTGTGGAATGAGCTGTGACATTCGCCGGAACCTGAAGCGACTGAGACTTGTATGCATAAGAGATGCATGCCCTGATCCGTCTTCCAATGGTTGAAGATGATACTTTCAGACCCTTGGAAGAAGGATGGAAAGACACAAACAGAGCCTCAGTCCTGCGAAAAGGTTCTATACGTTTTACGTAATGATGCATGGCCCGTCGTACGTCCAACGTGTGCCACAGCTTTTCCAGACGATGGGTTGGTCGAGGGCAAAAATTTGGGAGAACCAGGTCCTGAGACCTGTGAAACCAAGTATTGACCTTCGGGATGAAGGATGGGTCCAACCGGAGGACCACCCTGTCCTCCAGAAAGGTACAGAGATCCCCTCTGACTGAGAGCGCAGCCAGCTCAGAAATACGCCTTGCCGAAGTAATGGCGATCAAAAAGGCGACTTTCAAGGAAAGAAAGTGTAAAGAACAAGACTTGATAGGCTCGAATGGTGGTCCCGTGAGAACCTGCAATACTTTCGGTAAATCCCACGTAGGGTATCTATGCACCACGGGAGGAGCAGTGTGAACAGCTCCCTTAAGGAAGGCCCTGACTGCCGGGTGATGTGACAGTTGCGCATGATCCTCACATGTGAGAATTGATGACAAGGCAGCAACTTGCCTACGAATAGTGTTATAGGCCAGGCCCTTATTTAGGCCCTCTAAGAGGAAATCTAAGATAACAGGAATGGATACTGTCAACGGATCCAACCCCCGGGAGGCGCACCAAGTGCAGAAATGCCTCCATGTGGCGTCATAAATCCTGTTAGTCGAAGGACGTCTAGAGGCCTGAATTACCGCTATGACGTCCGGGGAAAATGATTGCCTGGCTAAATTCTCCCGCTCAAGCGCCAAGCGGCTAACTGAAGCCACTGCGGATCCGGATGTTGCAGCTGACCCTGACTGAGAGCGACTAGACTTGGTGGGATCTTCCATGGCAGAGATACCGACAGATCCACGAGGTCTGCAAACCAAGGTCTCCTTGGCCAGTGAGGGACCACCAGGACCAACTCCGCCTGTTCCAAAAGCAGCTTCCTGATGACAGCCTGAATCAGAGGGAGAGGGGGGAATGCATGCAGGAGCCCCTTGGGCCAAGGACTGCGAAGTGCATCTGTCCCCTCCGCCCCCCGCGATGGAAACCTTGTGAAAAATCTGGGTAGTTGAGTGTTTGTCGACGAGGCAAATAGGTCCACTTGAGGGAGTCCGAACCTCTCCACTATTCTCATGAAAAGGGAAGGATCTAGGCGCCACTCTGAGTGGTCTATCAATACCCTGNGAGATGTGTTCTGCGCAAATGGATGCCAGATTGGATTCGGCCCACAGGCCCAGGGACAGAGCCTCCTGCATGAGTGTCCAGGATCTGGTCCCCCCCTGCCTGTTGACATGGGCCTTGGTTGCGACATTGTCCGTCATTACCAGGACATGTCTTCCCGCTACTATGTTGGCAAATTGGCGTAGAGCCAGGTGTACAGCCCTGAGCTCCAGCCAATTGATGTTGTGAGCGAGGTCGGATTGGTTCCACTGTCCCTGTGCCATGTGAGTCAGCATGTGCGCTCCCCAGCCGAACAAACTGGCGTCCGTGGTCAGGACGAGTCTGTGAGGCTCCTTGAACAGTGAACCCTTGTGTATGGCTGACGACACCCACCAGCGTAGTGACATCAGAACGTGATGAGGAACCCTCACTCTCCGTACGGAGGAACTCATGTTCTTCCTCTGGAAAGGTAGTAGGAACCACTGTAGGTGTCTGGAGTGAAGTCGTGCCCAAGGCACTATGCCTAGACACGAGATCATCTTCCCCAATAATTGAGACAGCTGGACTAGTGGAACCACCTTGCTCTTTTGGATATTGCCAACTAGAGACTTGATGCTGGTCTTGCGTTCCTGTGATAGATATACCATGCACAGGTTTGAATCTATTACCGCCCCTAAATGTAGAATCCGAGTGGTCGGAATGGTGTGGCTCTTTTTGAAATTCACGGAGAAGCCGTGTCTCTGCAGGGTCTGAATTGTGATTTGTAGGTCCAGCTGTGCTGACCGGAATGACCTGGACTGGACGATGATGTTGTCCAGGTAACACTGTACTCTCACAGGTATCAGCCTGAGATGGGCCGCCAATACCGCCAGTAGCTTTGTGAATACCCGAGGGGCCGAAGACAGACCAAAGGGCAGAGCCCTGTACTGGTAATGCCTGTGACCATGGCAAAAACGGAGGAACCGGCGGTGGTGTGGTCTGATTGGGACATGAAGATAAGCCTCTGTCAGATCTATGGAAGAGAGGTAGTCTCCCTTCCTGATACTGGCCAGGATGGATCTGAGGGACTGCATTTTGAACCGCCTGTAGGCTATGAAATGGTTCAGTCCCTTCAGATCCAAGATAGCTCTCCAACCTCCAGATGACTTGGGGACCACAAAGAGGATGGAGTAAAACCCCTTTCCCCTTTGATCCCGAGGAACCGGCTCTATGGCCTTTATTTCTAACAGGTGGGCGATGGCCTGCGAGACTAGTCCCGCCCTGTTTGTGTGTTTTAAGTGTGGACACCGGACAAACCTGTCTGGGGGAATGGAGTGGAATTCTAAGGCTAGTCCTAGCCTTATGGTCTCTTGTACCCAAGCATCGTTGGTGGTGGCCTCCCAAACGTCGGTGAACAGAGTCAATCGACCGCCTATGGGAGGATCCACAATGGCGTCACTTGGACCTCCTGAAAGAACGTCCTCCAGTTCCCCTAAATGGGCGCTTATACTGGAATTGTCCTCTGGTTCCTGCGTTCTGGCGGCCCTGTTGTCGATCCTGTCTGGGGGAGAAGGATCAGGAACCTCTGGATCCATCCCAGGGCTGCCCTGCTCGAAAGGGCTGGCGCCAGTCCCAGGAAGTTCCAGCCTGAAAAGACTGCCTGCGAAACTCCTGCTGAGGTCTCCTGTCCAGCTTTTTGGAGGGGTGTGCCAATGTTTTCCTTTTGTCCTTACCTTCGACCAGATGCGGATCTAAAACTGCCCCAAATAGGTGACTACCCTTATACGCGTCTGTAGACAGACGCCATTTCGACTTGAGATCTGCCCTCCACTGCTTAAGCCACAAGAATCTGCGAGACGCTACCGTGGCCGCTATAGACCTTGCAGAGTGCTTGACCGCGTGGAGGGATGCATCTGCCATATATTCCGCAGCAGCCAGCAGCTTCCCCAGGTATTGTTGCGCACGCACCTGATCGGGGGAAAGTAAAGCCTGTAACTCACGGAGCCACGATGGAGGTCCTCGCAAAGAAGGATGAAGAAGTCGCCGCCTTGATCGCCCAGGCAGAGGCCTGATGAGCTCTGCGGAGAGAAAACTCGAACCTTTTATCCTCCGCCTTGAGGTTCTCTGCCATGTCTCCCGGTACTGTGGACGTGGAATATAAAGATGTCAACGGGGCGTCTACCTTGGGAACCTCAAGGAGGGAAGAAAATTTGGGGGAAACGTTAAAGAGCTTCCTCTCAGTGCTGCTGGGATTGGTGGAAGTGGACAGTGATGCCCATT